CCTCCTTCTTCTTCTTTGTAGCCCCCCCCCCATTTTTTGCCTCATGGGCCTCAGAAAAGCTTCCTGGGCGAAGCAGTGAGACAGTGAGGGGGATCTGGCGTTTTTGCTCCCAGAAAGCTTCCCTGGGTCCCAGGAAGGCAAAATATGGAGCGTGGAGGGCTTTTTGCCTTTTGGGCCTCAGGGAAGCCTCCTGATCATTGGAACAGCTGATTGTCAGGAGGGGGGGGGGAAGAAGAAATATCTTAAGACTGGGCGAGGGAGAATGCAATCAGTGATGTTGGGAATGCGTGAAATATTGCGCATGCGCAATAAGGACTGACTGGGTGGAGAGGGGAGGGGCTGGCGGAGAGGGGAGGAGCCAGCCAAGGGCACGATTTTCCAGTTCTCTGAATTGCACAGAATCATAACAACCGGTTCTACAGAACCAGTCTGAATCGATAGAATGCCACTCCTGGTTTTGATGTATACTCTACTTTGCTTCAAAGGGTTCAGAGTCAGGGAGACATCTTACATAAGGGACTCTGGGGCAGTGTTGATATGCTGCCGGTTTGCACCAGTTCTAGCAATCCGGTAGCACTAGTCAGTAGTTGGCATTGCCCACCTGCCTGTGCCCTTTCCTGTCCTATATTTCCTTTGTTTGTAGCTCAGCTGATAGGTGTGGTAGAGCGGATTGCCATGCCTCATCTGTTTTACTCACCAGCACTGATGGTAAATTTCCATGCATAAAATTGCCCATTTTAGAACCCTCCCAGCATGCATGTACACACATGCACATGTGAAGCACACGCCCATAGAACAGGTAGTAAATATTTTGAATTCCACCACTCCTCTGGGGAGTCATGTCCATAGAATGGAGACGGCACTTGAATACTTCAGGTGGAGTCCTTTTCTTGGGCACCAACCATTTATCCACAGTCTGAGATTCTCTTGGGAGCCTTTTCTAAACCAATGATGTGAATGCTACATTCTCTTTTAAGTGTGCCAGGACTCCATTGATACACTGATCCATGTAATAGATAGCAAGTCCTTTGTAATATAGAGACTCGTGCCCTGTAGGTTGGAGGAGGTAGGAGGAGCAAATCAAAGAAGACCTACCTATGAGCAGGATCTGACAAGGAGGATCTACCTACTTCTTATCATTGTGAAATAGACCCAAATCCCATTTGACCTGAATGCTTATATTATGCTTTCATTGAGAAAGAGGAAGGGAGGAAAGGGGAGAGACAGAGACAGAGACAGAGGAAGGGAGAGAGAGAGGGAGAGGGACTGGGAGAGGCAGAAGAAGGGAGAAAGAGAGTTAAAGAAGAAAAGGGAGGGAGAGGCAAAAAGAGGGACTGGGAGAGAGAGAGGCAAAGGAAGGGAGAGAAGGAGTGGGAGAGAGAGGGCGAGAGGGGGAGGGAGGGAAGGGAGAGAGAGGGACTGGAAGAGGGAAAGGCAGAGGGAGGGAGTGGGAGAAAGAGAGGGAGGAGGGAAAGGCAGAGGGAGGCAGAGAGGAAGAGAGAGGGACTGGGAAAGGCAGAGAAAGGGAGCGAGGGAGTAAGAGAAGGAGAGGGAGGGGGAAGGAGAGGCAAAGGGAGAGGGAGGGATAGCGAGAGGGGGATAGGGAGAGGGGGAGAGGGAGAAAGGAAGGGGGAGGGGAAGGGGGAGGGGGGGGGGGAGGAGTGGGGAGTGGTAGAGAGACTGTGTGGTACTGTTTTAGCTCTCATCCCCCAATTTTCTTTTTCTGTTAATTGTTCGGCATTAAAGAACGCAAGATGGGGAAAAAAGGATGGTTGAAACATGAAGTTCTGAAGAACACCAATTCTAGGAAAATGGTTGGGCCATTTACCATTTAATCCTGAGCAAGTGGAAATATTTCTTTATGCAAGAGAAAGTCTACAAAGCTAATGACAGTTCTATAAATCAAATTTAAGAAAAAGAAGGCAACATGCATGATATGAAAAAAAAAATGATTATTTTCGAAGTGTCATTAACAATCTCCCAAGCAAAATCCTTGCTATTGTACCATAACAACAGCTTTCAACACAGGCGCTTGGCAAGATGCAACAAATCATTTAAATGTTGTGTTCAATGTTTATATAAACCAAAGAGTAGAAGTGAATAGTCCTAGCTCAGGGTTGAACCGTGGGGTCCTTGGCGTTCTATGAAGTTGGCGGTTTTCTTGTGGATGTTTCATGACCAAACTAGGGAACATTAACAGTCTTTGGTGGGGTTCTCTGATGATGTCACCCAGTCGGGCCATAAAATAGAGACAGAGGGGAGCAAGTGGCCAGTTTTAAGTTTCTGGGTGTTGTCCTAAAATAGGACCTGACCTCGGGTGCTCACATTGCAGCCCTGGTCAAAAGGGCCCAGCAAAGATTATACTACCTGAGACTTCTCAGAAAACAACAACTGAATGAAAATCTGCTGGTGACCTTCTACCACTGCACCATAGAGAGCATTTTAACATACTGCACCTCTGTATGGTTTGCCAATTGCGCAGTGGCAGATAGGAAAGCACTCCAGAGGGTTAATGTCATTGCCCAGAGGATCATTGGTTGCCCTCGCCCCTCTTTGGAAGAGCTTTATAACTCCTGCTGCCTTAAAAAAGTTCAAAACAGTCTCAAAGAGACATCTCATCCTGGGAACCCTTTTTTTCAATTATTACCATCTGGCAGATGTTACAGAATAATAAAAACAAGGACAAATAGGCTGAAAAACAGCTTCTATCCCAGGGCAGTAGCTCTTTTGAATTTGGCTGTATAGTGCAGTGTTGGTGCAGTGTCAGGGGTTTTAGATTCAATGTGTGGAGGGTGAAGGATGTGTGTTTGTGTTTATTTTCATGCTCATGATGTGCACTGAAGACAGTGTTTGATTTCGTTGTACGAGGTGCAATGACAAGAAAATAAAGTAAAGTAAACATCTACAAGAAAACCACCAAGCTCAGAGAGCACCAAGGACCTCACAAACCCAACATTGATGGACAAAAGTCAAAGCACAATCAAGGTATTTGACAAGGCATCTCCAGTGGGGTTTCAAACAGTAGGATAGTGGCCATCATAAAAGTATGACCTCTTCTACACATTAAAAGGTGCAGGACCTCAATTGTGTAGTTCACAAGAACCGTATTGACGACCTGACAGCACTATCCATGGTTTGCTTAGCATTATTCAAACAGGTCCAATGAACATATAGAACAATGGTTTTACAGAATGAAAAACTACATCAGTCTGGTGCTTAGGAAGCATGGCTTATTACATAAACTAGCAGGACTGAATTTCTGAACTGATTCTTTAACTCAAGGCCACACACATTTATATATCCCATTATATAAATAAAAATAAATAAATAAACCCCCAGCCCTAAAATTATTCACGGTCCTTTTTTTTTTAAAAAAAAAGCACATTTGGTTTTTGTAAAAAGAAAAAAAGGATAGCTGGATAATAACTTGTTTAGAATAAACCACAGTCTTTCAAATTATTCTTTATGATAACGTCAGTGACTGCATCGAAGACAAATTGAACATTCTTGGTATCGGTGGCACAGGTGAAGTGGGTGTAGATTTCTTTCGTGTCTTTTCTCTTGTTCAGGTCTTCAAACTGACACTGGATGTACGCAGCTGCTTCTTCATATGTGTTTGATCCTAAAAGGGAGGAGAAGAATAAAAAAAAAAGGGTGGATTTAGACCCTTTAGACTAGGGGGTGGTGACATGATGGTGGTGATCCAATATCTCAGGGGTTGCCACAAAGAAGAGGGGGTCAACCAGGATGGGATTCAGCTGGTTCAGCCTGGTTCGGGAGAACCGGATGTTAAATTTACACCTAGTTTGCCGAACCAGTAGTTGAACCAACCATCTGGCCCCACCAACACCTTCCCGCCCCTTCCAGGAGTCTCCACGTGGCCCATTTTGGATGAGGGAAGAGAACCGGTTGCTAGGATTTTTGAATACCACCCCTGGGGTCAATCTACAGATACAGATTTACAGAGTTGGAAGGGACCATGTAGGTCATCTAGTCCAACCCCCTGCCCAAGCAGGAGACTCTATACCATTTCTGACAGAGGGAAGTCCAGTCTCTTCTTGAAAGCTTCCAGAGATGAAGCTCCCACAACTTCCGAAGGCGACTTCTGTCCCATGGGTTGATTGTTCTCACTGTCAGAAAATGTCTCCTTATTTCCAGGTTGAATCTCTCCTTGTTCAGTTTCCATCCATTATTCCTTTTCTGGCCTTTGGGTGCTTTGGAAAATAGCTTGACCCCTTCCTCCTCTCTGTGAAAGCCCCTCAAATAGTGGAAGACTGCTCTCATGTCTCCCCTGGTCCTTCTCTTCACTGGACTAGCCATGCCCATTTAGAGAATAGAACACCTATTTTCCAAAGCACCTGAAGGCAGGACAAGAAGCAATGGAGGGAAACTAACCAAGAAGAGAAGCAACCTCACTTTGGCTAAATAAAATATTTTGCTGCTGCTACAATTTCCTATGGTTGCCATTATTGGATTAAATTCCTCAACAATAGCATCTTTACATTATATCATACAAGTAATGGAAGGGAGTTTTTCCAAACAATTATTTATGCCAGGGATGGAAAAAAATGTAGCCTTTCAACATTCTCATGAACCATAAAAGATCTTTCAAGGATGTAGTAACACCAGCAGAGTAAAAGGATCAGAATTCATCAGAAGTTCCTTCCCTTAAATATGCTAGAAAAGTCCAAAATCAGATCAAATTTTGGACCACAATTATTTGTAGGTTGAATTTTAAACATAGAAGAAAAGGAGGAGAAGGAGGAGGAGGAGGAAGAGGAAAAGGAAGAGGAAAAGGAAGAGGAGGAAGAGGAGGA